ATGCACAATTTGAAGAAAACTATAAACCAGACCAAAATCGAAAAGAAAAAAAAAAAAGCTTGGTTTGTGTTGGTTTTTTTTTCTCAGCTTTCATAAATTTGGTTACTGGTTTGGAAGGGGTGTAGCTTGAAACAACCCATTCCTGTTTCAACCCGTTCCCAAAACGCCCTTCTTATTTGAACCTATACCCGAAACACACTGCATTTGACCGTCCTGTTTCAGCCCATTTGTATAGGCTCTCCACATCTCGACGTCTTTGTGAAAAGTCTCCATCGTTCTAACCCTGGTCTGCACACATTTTCTGCGCAAGAATAATGCTGAAATCTTTTTGCTTGTCAACATATTTTTAATATACACAACCGTTTCAGACAAGCTTCAATGTAATATATTGTACTTGTTAGTGAGCGCATTGGTAATGATGTAGGTTTAGGTAGAGTTATATACGTAAAGACAGGGGACGCGACAACAGATCTTGTCCCGTTGTCTTGTCCCCTGTCTTTAAGTATATAACTCTTTCTAAACCTACGTAAAATATTCCTACTTTGACCACTTAAAATATTTTTTTTCAAGATGGTCCCCAAAACGTGCCACCGCGAAACAGACTAGATATGTGCAGTGTGCAAGACTGTTACCGTGAGCATGACGTTGGAGGTTTTTTTTTAATTTCACTTGGAAATGGTATTAGTATATGCACCAAATTTTACCGCTTAATTTAGTGGCTGAGATGAGCACTTCTAAAGACACTATGATGGCAGATAGCCTTTCGATTGTATGAGATAAACAGTAAAAACCGACAATCGCTTGTTTGCACTAACGGTGTCATGCTCTGTACAATAAGGGAATCTTAGAATAAGGTAGGCAAGCACTTAGGGTAAGAAAAATTAGCTTCGCCATAGCTTTTATATCGCAATGCAATTTTAGGGTACCCAAAGTACTGACATACATTATTCTAAAACTCCCTAATAGTGAACTAGATATTTTAGAGCGATCAGACAGGCCTATGATTGCGACTTTATTTTTTTTCCAATTTCAAACACTGAACCCTCGCACACACGCAAAAATATTATAGACCAGAAAATGTCTTTGCCTTCTTGAAGGGAAATCGTGCCATCAGAAGGCGAGACACGAATTCTGAGTGTTAGCGGTTCTTACTGACCCACTTGTGCTCCCTGGCCCGCATGGCACCACCATTTGCAACCTGCTGCAAAGATATCCTTGTCGGGGCCTCATCCCGTCTGATCAGGTCGATGAAGCCTCAAAATTTCCGGGTGAGCCCACCCTGACACCGTGTTTATCTTACGATGCCAGGACTCCGTATGGTTGTTAGTCTGCAGTCCTCGGTTTCCGTGGTGGTTTCACTGTTGTATGGAAAAATTGCCATTCATCCAGGTGTCCTATAAATAGTCTAGCACAAGCAAGACACCCTGTGCCGGTAACAGCAATTACTGCTATGCTCGTTTGCAGCACTGCAGTCACCACAAACACCAGAAAAGTGTGCAAAAAGTGGCTGGCTGCTGGTGATCTCCAAAGCTGTTTCGGGAGAGGGTGAAATGAAGTCACCTAGAAGGACAGACGCTGGACGAGTGGCACTCAGTTGGTCGAACAATGTTTTAGCGAATGCCAACTTTTCATCGAAAGATACTTTAGCAAATAGTCGGCCGTTGCAAAGCGGCGTTTATGAATGGGTTAAGTGGGTTAACATTTTTGCAATGAGCCACCGCAGACTGTCGCCATGAAGTGGCGTGAGCGCGCAGCGCAAGGGGGTGGGTTGGCGTTGGGGGTGTCGCGAACCGGCCGCGGTTCGAGCTCGACCAGGTTCAACTTTTTCGAACTTTTAGTGGAAAGTTCGACAAACCTTCTATTGAGGTTAGACTCGTGTGCGCATGCGCGACAGGCTGGCCAGTTGGCTTCGGATTGGATGATATTGGCTAAGAGATTAATTAAGTGCAGCGCTGATTGGCTATTTTAGTTAATACAGTACTACAAATTAAGTTATTAACTTCTTCAGTGATTTGAATTAGTTTTTTTAATTACAACTGTTCACAATATAAAATACCCCTTTGCATAAAAAAAAACTTTTCCGAACCTAGACATAGTTCTATCAAGGTCTGGCCACACTGTCCACAAAGTCGAATCGGTCGAATCTGGTGAAAAGTCTGAAGGTTCGTCGAACCGGACCGACCCAGTCGAACCCTGAAAGTTCAACCAAAAAATATGGTTCAACAAAAGTTTGCGACACCCCTAGTTGACGTGCCCGATGTGTCCCCTTTATTTGCTAAAACATTGATTCGCTCAAATGGCGCTGTTCGTTAAAGGGCAACTCCGCTCAATTCCGAAGATTTCGGGATAATGAGTGATTTCGAATTAAAAAGCCCAAGTAAAAGACACTACGTCGTTTGCTTCGCGAAAAATGGGATATATATTTTTAAATCTAATTTTAAACACGAGCGGAAATCGAAACCGAAACTTCGGCTCCGTCTGGTAACATTGGCCTCGCGCCGCCAAGTACATGGCCATCTTGTGGTACGAGATGTCATGTGATCCTCGGCCCAACGACGGGCGGGATGGGAGCGGGCGGGCGTGCGGCAGGCGCGAGTGTCGTCTGCACCACACTCTTTGCTACGTGTTGGTGTCTACGGCATTCGACGACGTCTGCACAACTGCGGCATAAGTCTGCGACTCTGCGCACGTGGTGTCCATAGTGTGGACGAAACTCCGAGAGGCAATAATCACAAACGGTGAGACGACGACGGTGTTTGTGACGCGGAAGACGGCGGTAACGGCTGGACCAGGGTGTGAGATAGACAGGTGGGGAAACGAGAGCCAAATGAGCGACCTGATTGTGTCCCCCTCGGTGTTCTCTTTTTCTGTGGCGCCATCTATGTGGAGCACCGCGAACTCTCACTCCGGGTGGGCGACCGGTGGCGACCGGCTAAACTGACGGAGATAATTTGTCGTGGATTTTCAATGAAGGAATGTCGTGTTCTCGGTCTATTTTCCGCACTTTCCCATAAAGTTCCATGCAAATCCGATTCTGATTTTTTTTCTTCTCGCCGCAGCGCCATCTGTCGCAAAAAGGTGGCACCCGCAAGCAGACGAGTACACAATCCGGTCACGGCGCTGCGGTAGGGTTCTATGGGCCGTTTCCGCACCTGTCTATCTTACACCCTGGGCGGGACCACGACGGGCGGTTGGTCTGCTCCCAAGAAGCGCGCTGCGCAGGCGCGTACGCCAATCACGTGGACACCGCTGAGCGCCGAGACAGCGTTGCTGACGTCATGCGCTACGCTCGCCCGGAGAAGTGAAAACAAGCAAAAGGGGGCCATGTAGATGGCGTTTAGCTCAATGTTGGCTCCGCCCATGCCGTAGCCTTGACTGCGCTGTTGGTTGCGCCTGAATTCGCCCGCTCGAGTCAGCCGATTTCGGCAACTTGGCGAGTTGCAAAGTTTGCCGGACCGTTTAAGAAACATTTAGACAGAACTGCGTCGTAATATTTGACGTGTGGTCTTCCTAGGCGATACTGAAGAGGACTGAATTGTTTTTTCAAAACCAAAAATGAAGCGGAGTTGCCCTTTAAAACGTAATTCGCTGATATGATATGGATTTGACACTAGAAACTTGAACCGACCAGGCTGTTAACGAATGAACCGACCCAACTGATATCGAGCAATGGTCGAAGCGGGAAGGTTGTTTTGGGACAGGGCAAAATGGGAAAACATGAAATGATAAGGTTTTTTTTGAGTTCCGGTCGAAACGTGAAGGTTGAAATGGGAACGGGTTGCAACTGAAAAATCTTTGAAGTGGAAAGAAAATTCAATTGGCTTACCTATTCTTCTATTCTTCATTTGGCCCAAATAGTGCCACAGTGGCAACATATTAAGTGTACATGCAAAGTATAGGGAAAATGTTGATTTTGGTTTTTCGTGATATGCTCAAGTGAGCCAATCTTGCCAAAGTTTTAGTGAAAGCTTCCACTGCCTTTGGGTACCCCTGAGGTAAATCCTAGCGCGATATGCTAAAGAAACGCTGACACTCCTCAGAACTATTTAAAATTTTTTGTTAGGCGCGATTTATTATGGTGTCAGAAGACAATAATCATCCATATTTCGCTACAGTGTCACGTATATTTTTAATAACGTCGAAAAACGCAACGAGGTATGAAAAACGCAACCGCTTGAAACCGAAACTGGACTGAGGAAGAAGAAATATAGAGGTGAAAGTTGCAGGAAATCATGTTTTTGTACAACTCTTTTTTTTTTAATCAACGTATTTGCAGCTTTTTAAAAGCCCCAAAAAATAGGTATCGCATTTCTTTTATATTTTTAATATTAAATGTGTGCCTGCACGTGACCACAGAGCAGAGAGTGAGCAAGACTCAAAATGGCCAGTTCTCGATCGGCGATTACCTAGGAAAGAAAACAAATTTCGTTCTCAGGTGTGAGATATCGGTTCACGCCTATATCTCACACCTATATCTCTAATATGTCATGTACCAATAAAAACCTTGGCGAGCATAAATACCCAAAGTGGGATCGAAGCGTTAGTGGCTCTTTAAGGTTTAAATATTCGGATAACTTTATATCCTCAAGTACCGCTGGAGCGATCACTGTCGTGGCTGCAACAAGCGCCCTAGCGCAAACGCAAATATCAAAACTTGCAAAACTTGAACACTGCGAGATCACACTTTTCTGGAGGCGAGCAGCGCAGCGAACCCAGCGAACTTCTCCGAATCGCCACATGTGTCACCGCGCAAGGTTTCGCTTTTTTTATATTTTCTTTTAATTTTCTTAGAAGTTTCAAAACAATGAGAATTTTCTTAAATATATGTATATATATATATATATATCTTTTTACTATGTTTCTATGTTCGATGAGGCCCGTTTCAGCGCAAACTTCAAAGGCAATGTCAAAACAGTTCAAAGATGTAAAATGAAAAAGACGGACACTTTCAAAACCGAAACTTATCCCTATCCCATAATGCTCTTGTCTACAAAAAAAGAAAAATGTTATGGCGGCAAAAATGGCGGTTTGCAGCTCTCGGCGGCATCGCACGTTTTGTTAGCGCCATGCTCCGTCCCACGTAAGTTTTCCCGAACTCGCATTCCGACCAGATCGTACAAAGCAGCGCGGTGCATCAAGCGCCGGCGGCTCTGAGAACCAGCGATGGCGGAGCGCCCCGAGGACCTCCACTTGCCGGTGTCCGTGGTGACGCGCATCGTGAAAGACGCGCTGCCCGACGGCGTGAACGTCTCCAAGGAGGCTCGCGTAGCGCTCTCCAAAGCGGCGAGCGTGTTCGTGCTGTACGCGACGTCGTGCGCCAACAACTTTGCTGTGAAAAGCAAGCGGAAAACGGTGACCGGAGCCGACATTATCTCTGCCATGGAGGAGATGGAGTTCGGCACCCTGGTCAACCCGCTCACTGCCTGCCTGGAGCAGTTCCGGCAGGGCAAGACCAAGAAGGACGCCGCCGCCAAGGCCAAGAAGCCCGAGGCCGACAAGACGGACGCCGGGTCGTCCGGCGATGCGGAGATGGCCGACGAATCGGAGTTCGCCGAAGAGGCCGAAGATGCCGAAGATTCCGACGAATAAATAAAGAAATAATGCAGCCAGCGTAACATGGTTGCGTCTTGCGGAAACCCTCGCGCCCCCTGACCGAGAGCAACGGGTCTAGATTCAACACTACTCCGTCAGCTGTCATCTTGTCCTGTCAGATGTCAGTCGAGGTTGCCCCACAGTATCGGGTATCGGACATAAACTTGTAGGCATAAATAATATCCAGGGCAGGCCTTAAGCAGTACCCGCGTAGTAAAGTAATCCTCCCGATTTTTAAACTGTTCGACGACGATTAGACACCTTCGTATGGTGAAATAACTTTTTCTTTCTAGAATATGTCAATATTTTGATGGCAACCAGCTTGTTGAACGATCTGTAATTGACAGATCGTTTCGTCAACATGCAATGTTTCGTCGAAAAGATTCCCGCATTCATTTCATTAACACCTTACAACGTATTGTCAAACACAGCCCTGCTGTTTTTGCAGTTAACATTTCATGTTACCTGGTTTATGAGGGGAGAGAGAGGAGGGAGTGAGGTAATCACAACTCAATGAATCGTGCCTGTAGTGGCTTCCAGATTTCATTACGCACCTAGCGAAGAAAAAAAATATGCTCACGAAATGCGCATCTATTGGCCACATAACGAGTTTTGACAAAATCATACGGACCCAATATCTGGTGTATCTCAAAGGAGCAACATCTAGGTCGCTTTCGTTTTAATGTGTATTTAAATGGCGAATATTGACAAAAACAACCAAGCTTATAATATATGCTGATGATGCAGGCGAATTTCGTCTAAAGTTAATTCAATGTTGGGTCAAATATATCTACAGACCGACAGAAACGCATGCAACAAACGAATCTGAACAAAAGAAGGCCCGTAACGTTTCGTCCAAAATAAAACTCGCCCCACCATAATTATTATTACTCTGAAATTGGTCAATATCGAACTGGTTGATTGCTTCAAAAAGATTGGAGTTGTGTTCTTTCAAAATATGTCCTGGGATAATCATTGCACATCTCAACACAAAATTGTCAGACTTCCTAGCGATCTAGCTGCACCTTACCTTTCGTATAGCTCAACAAAGTCCAAACCGAGCATTAGCATTCAAAGCACAGATTGTGTTGCCCCCCATTGTACCTGCTTGCCAGTAAGAATGCCGTCTGTTTTTAAAATCTTTGCATCAATCTTATTGGTATTGCAATTACTGGATTACCACATCATACAGACCATTTGCAACTCCAGCCTGCCGCCCGCCCTCTCGTGAATGAATGAAGAACCAGAGGAGCGGGCAGAGGAGACAATGGCAGGCAATATCAACCTTGGTGCTGCTGTCACCTTACGGTTCGGTCGGCGTGTTCGTGCATCATGCGGTTTTAACGAAAACAGCTGGTGAATTCAAAAAGGAATAGTTGTTTTCTGCATTGCAACTTTAAAAATCAACATGCTCATTTTCTTAACGCTCATTGACATCTTCATCACCTGTGATGTGTTCCTGCCTTGACCACTTCATATTTGTAGCCAATTAATTTCGGCACACTGACCATTGTCGGCAAGCAGGCCTACGGTAAAAACTGGAGAATCTACCCCCGTCTCTTCCACTATCCTGGGGCTACCATCCCAGCAATTATAGGGCATTGGAGTTGTGAATATTCCACAGGGGCACGTTTTCAATGAGAAAATATATGAAAGACGTTTACAAATTTCTGTAATGCAAAACTAGAGTGCAGCTCTTGAGGAGAAAGAAGGGAGGGTATACCCCTCCTCCTCCATTCCTTCTTCTATCCTCCTGTCGCTGAATTTGTCCGTGGGTGACGTGACACCAACTTGTGACGTCATTATCCCCGCTAAATTTAGCAGGGAAACTGAATTGGAGTGGAGGTCATGTGACGTCAATTTCCACGCTAAATTTAGCGGGGAAATGTAGCAGGAACATTTCCCTGCTAACTTTAGCAAGGAAACGTCCCATAATGCAAAGCATGCGGTTACGCCGACACCAATGGCAACGCCGCTCAAACCGAAAACGGGTGCCCAAGAGCTGTGTTCTAAAATTAGTCTTTACTTCGATAGTGCACACCTGGTGCATAGCGTATTCACTCCTTCATTCGCATCTCACTCCTCTAAAGCATGTCACAGTGCCTTCCACAAATAACACTCGGGGGCATTGCAATCCTTAATTCCTGAAGGAAACCACAGTTGCTCATCTACCTTTCGCGATAGTTTTGCAACCACAAGCGGTACATGTTTGTGTTCCGCCCAAATCCAGCTCCATCCACGGCTGCCTCGCGTGTCACCCACAGAGCCGTCGAGAGAAAAAGGCAATATATGCAACGACAAACTCGGCTTTTCTTGCCGACAACTGTTCCGATAACGAGCTATACTGAGAAACAAATCGTCGTGAGGTGTTGCACCTTTGGATAATCCACATTGGCCAGAATACAAACACTTAAATGTGTATAGACGCTTTACACACGCGCCAAATTACAGCCGCCATTGCTGACCTTCTCTTGTCTTACCGAAATGCCGAGCAACTGAAACGGTAGTTGACGATCCTCTACGGAGGCCGATGCTTTAGAAAAAGACACAGTTGAATCTAACGTGGCAATAACCTGGCCTGCTATGGTAATTATGAAGTGAAATAAACGAAAGTAAGAGGAAACAAAAACTGAAGGTCAGTTATGGTGGCGTCCATGCACAGCTGCTGCAAAGCGTCTATAGACTGGCAAACACGGCGGTTATTAGCCCCGAGAAGTTCGCGTGGCGCCCCCTTACGGCGAACCGGGGTGACGTCACGGCGAGGAGAGAATTTTTCCCCGACTCGGCCCGCTCGCCCTGTGGAGGCTGTGACGACGCTAGCTGACAGCGCGCTCGCTTCTATTTAATTTTTTTTTGCGTGTTTTTCGTAGGAAGTGTAAATTTTTATATGAACCTTTATTGAGGTATGGCCTGTAGCTACAGGCGAAACTTTAACCAACATTTTAAGCATGGTTGACAGGGCAGGGAACGCATGAATCGCAGCTGGTATATGAAAATAAAGAAATATGGCCACAATTGCAGGAGCATCACTATAGATTTACATCTCGCACAATAAATGCTGCTGATGGTCTGAATGAATTGGCAGGTTATGTATACTATTTTTTTTTTGTATCCGTTTTTAAACAAGATCGCCGGAGCAGAAAAGCTGCATGCTGCTCGAGCAACATGTTAAATACAGTCTGGGCCATCAAGAAAGAATCACAAGTAAGACAGCCCAAGCGCAGAAGAAAAGTAAAAAAAAAAAAAAAAGGAACATTTATTATATACATTGCTTGCATTTGACCTTTGCTGGATTCGGATAGTATTTCAATGAACTACACGGGTGGTATTTGTGGACTTGTTTATATCAACCCTCAAGTAATGTATAACAAACGTAAGCGAAGGTGTCTAGCTCGTTATTAGGCCCTTAAGCCCTAAAATTGAGATTTTACTTAAATCGAATTGTCCTGAAGCTAAAATACCAGAAGCTTTTCTCACGCAGACTGCCGCCCTTTAGAGGTTCCACATTTTCAGCTGCTAGTGCTGCATCTACCACTGGACAGACGTTCGAATGCTTGCTTTTACTCCTGTTTTCCTCTGATGTCAGCTGTAGGGAGTTTGGAGGCTGAGGAAGCTTTTGGGGACCTGCAGCAGTGTCTCTTTTAATTGGAAATAACAATTCAGACTAAACGGTGTATTCTTGGAATAGGCTGGAATAAAGAATGTCAGGAAAAAGTATAAACATTCCATATTACGGCACTATTGCCGTGCATAGTTTGGCAGTTCAATACATATCATACAGACAACTGGGGGCAATTCGGCCGTTTTTGCTGCTACCATACAAACTAATTTCCAGTAATTGTGCAGCTTCTAAGAAATATGCTTGCATACGTGTATAAACTATATAATTAATTCGCGAAGAAGCTACATTTATGTAAAACAACCCTGTTCCACGAGCACTTTCAAGATCATCAGACGCACGGCCTTTAAAACATCTGCGAACCAGCGCATGCAGAGTGGCAGCGCGGAGTCAGGGTCGCGAGCTAATTTGCCGACTACCCAAAGGCCCATGATATAAATGCCACTTCAAATGCCTTGAAAGCGGGATCTAATATCGTCTTAAATCATGAACGTGCAAGGAACAGAATTCCAGCGTCTGAAACGCTTGCGCCATCGCTTCACCGACCCCTCGCAAGATTGCCTTGTGTCGTGTGGACGGACGGGGAGGTTCATCAGCGGAATTGACTCCGCCGAAAGCTTTCGGGATTTGTAACCCAATTTTAAAGGTAAAAGGGACAAGCAGGCTTATAAAATGTACGGAAGCACTTAAATACCGGCCTAACTCAACGTCTTGCACACCAGGTAAACGAAGTCCAGCTCCTCGAAGACTAGCGCCAAACCAGGAAACCGGTGCTGGGAGGCGAGCCGATGCGAGATCGCGGAGCGGAGTACTCCCCCTGACGTCACGGTACACCCCACCCAATCCGGGCGCGGCGACCGCAGCGACGCTTGTGCTCGCTCTCGGGGCTAATACTTCCGGAAAAGCGTGTGCGTTGGAGTTAAAATGCTTGGAACATCAGGGTGGCACACCCTGGACGCCACCAGCGTCGGCATTTTAGGTTGCTCTCACTCACCATCACAGCTACTCACACTCAGCCCCTCACTCATCTTCACAGTCACCTTCAGCCCTTCACTCACCCTGTTTCAACCTCACGCAGTCGCCGCCCTCATGGCCCTTACACACTCACAGTCCTCACTCACCCTCGCACTCATGAAATTCCGGGGTTCTGAAACTCCGTCACCCTTACCTCACCTAGCTGTGAAGAATAGGGAAAGTGAAGGCCCTCACGGGCGAGGTTTGCCGAGGTATGGATGCCACACTGGATGGAATGCACCGTACTCGGCTCACGCTCGAGACAAACTCCAGCTTATCCTTTGCAAGGGGGACGACGGGCTCGTTCAATTTACACCTCCTGCAACGGGTATACTCAACGCACACCAGCATATTGGATTTACGAGTTCAGCCTACCTCGCAACACAACCGGAAGTACATCGTCCCACACTTTTTTGTACCCATGCAGGCGGGCGCAGGTAAATTGAACGAGTCTGACGTTTGCACCATAGCCTGCATAACGCATAAGCGTTCTCGAAGTCCACTCGTGGCACGCACTTTCGGCAGCAACAGCTTTAGCTACTAATGAATACCGACTCGGACGTTGGCCGGGGAGGACGCTCCATCCGTCCCTTGCCTATATTTCGAATGTTTCAAAGGTGGGTACCTACGGTGACATAAGCACATGTTGGGTAGTTTGCGGCGATAAAAAAATAATAAAATTGAAAGACGTTTACAATTCCCTGTAATGCCGAATTAGAACTCAGCTCTTGAGTAGGAGGGGAAAGTACCGAGAGGACGGTATCCTCACCTCCTCTTCTCTCGTGAAGGTCACTGTGAAGGTCATGACCTTCACAAGTGACCTTCGTAGTGTCATTACGGGAAACGTCCCATAATGAACATTCAGTTACACACGACGGCGACGCTGCTCAAACCGGAAACGAGCGGTTGTGAGGTAGTATTGGCTGCCTCCGAGCTTCCTATAGTCCCCAACAGGAGGAGAAGGACGTGCGTTTGCAACCACTCTATCACGACCTCCGTGCCTTGCTTTGGCCGAACCTTGGCAGGGGGCAATCACGAACCTTGCAAAGCCCTCTCTCTCCGTTCCCCCTCCCCGACCCACCTCGACGCGGCCCTAAAAAGGCGACCTTTTTCGGTTGAAACCGAATTTCCGAAAACAGATTAGACATACTTTTATCGGTTTAAAATGAAAACGCCAAACCTACAAACTGATCTTTTTCGGTTAAAACCGAATTTCCGAAAATGGATTTGGCATACTTTTATCGGTTTAAACCGAAAACTCCGAACCCTAATTATAATGTACACTACTTTCCTTTCTAAGTGACAAACAAAGAGGAAGTTCAGCGGTCCGTTCCCTCAAGAAACCACCACGTTTTGCTCGCATTCAGCGAGACATCTTTCTTGCTCGTCGATTCTTCGACTTAAATGCGAAATAAATGTACATGGAAAGCATAAAATGATGAAGGAACAATAAATAAAAATTATTTTGGAGATTATCCTCACGGTAAAGGTTTGCAATTTAAATCAGAATATAAATACCATTTTAAATTGTTTATTTCTTCTCCACCCTGGCTGTATGTAATGTACATTCGTGTCATGGTATGAAGAAGCCCAGGCAAGAGCGGGGCTCCAAAGATGCCCACTGCTATCTAATGAAAGTAAGCCGAGTTATTCACAAGCTTATTGCGTGAATGAGTGGCATTTCCGAAATGCCTCTCGTTCACACGAAAGCCTCGATGATAACTCAGCCATCTTCCACTAGATAACACTGAAGGTCTTTAGAGTCATGCACTCGCTTGAGCTTTATCATATCGTCCGCGACTGTACTATCTAGGACAATCTGAAACAGTCCTTCCTGCTTCTTTGGCATACCTGCCAGCTTTTGAGAGAGCTACGTTATGAATAGGGTTCCGCGTTTTCGGTTTCTATTTTTTCACAATTCGGCGTACTTTTATCGGTGTTTATTTTAAAATACAATTTTCGGTTTTTTTCGGTGTATATTTATGCCCACAAAAGTTTATCGGCTTTTTTCGGTGAATATAAAATAAACGCCAACGGACACAGGATCAGATGACCCTTGTACGTAGCTCTGATATTTGTGATCACTCAAAGAATAACGGCGCAGATACATTGAAAAAGAAATGGACACTTCATTTGGCAAATGTGTGCAACTGTAAAAGAAACACGAAAAAAAAACCATAGAAGTACAAACAAGTCAGATATAAAGCCTATGCCCAATAAACATGGAACTTCACTTTCTGTACATCAGGATTACGCTATCTCATTATAGCACACACACATGTACTTGCCAAGGTTCTTCTCCTTAATCCGCACTCTTTCTTTTCTGTTAATATGACCCTGAGCTTCGAGAATGCCCTCTCAACGCTAACCCTGGACACTGCAAGCTGAGGAGATGAAGCGCTGCCTGAGCAAACACGGGCCAATCAACCAATTGTGACCGCTGAAAAAGGCACGGTGCGACGTTTTAAAGCACAACACAACATGCAGAGCTTGCATCACGTCAGTCTTCCTCACAACGAGCTTGAAAGCACGCTCGTACATGGCGAAGTCATGGGGCATTTCGGACTTCACGTTCCGATCGATGATGCGCACACTAAACCAAAACGTCGTAATTGCATTCGCGTATCCCATACATTCGGGCACGTTTCGAATCGATAGACTCTGTCGTTCCACTTTTTCGCCACGGCTCTGTTGTACGACTGGAAGGTCAAAGTGATCTTTTCCCGTTAAAACTGAATTTTAGAAAATGGACTCGACGAATGTTTATCGGTTTTTATCGGTTTAAATCGAAAATGCCGAACCTAAAAACTGACCTTTTTAGGTTAAAACCGAATTTCCAAAAATGAATTCGGCGTACTTTTATCGGTTTTTATCGGTTTAAACCGAAAACTCCGAACCCTAGTTATGAACTAGGAATAGAATGCAAAGTTGAAGTCCCATATATACCAGGTGTTCCAAAAAGAATTTACAGGGTTTTTTCACCACACAATTAAATTATGCATGGCAGAATGCTCGATACCCGCCGAAAGGCAACACTAGAGGTCCGAAGCAGACGCCAAAGTTTCAGCACGAAACAATATTTCATTTCAAAGTTCTAAGTGATTTTCTGAAAATTTCAATGGGAAAATGAGGCCCATTTCTGCCCGTTTTCAGTTTCTGGCGCCATAGAGCACCATGTGTTCGAAAGCTCCGTCGGCCACCATTTTCCCGTTGACATTTTCAGAAAATAGTTTAACTTTCGAATAAACATTGGTTCACGCTGAAACTTTGATATCTGGTTCGGACCTCCAGTGCTACCTTTGGGCGGAGAACGAGCGTTCCGCCATGCATAATTAATCTTTGCGGTGAAAAAAACCCTGTAAATCTTTTTTCGTTACTTTGAACCAGGGTGGAGAACAGAAATCAATACGATTTAAATCGCGATTGAAATCGGAAGAGTTTCACGCCAAATCTCTTTCACAAAAATAATCCCAAAAATAGTTTTGATTTACCGTTTGCCTATCGTCTGATGCCTTCCATGTGCGTTTGTTCTGTACTTAAATCAAAGAATCATAGAGCAAGCAAGATTCATATAAAGCTGAACACAAACAGAACATGCTTTTCTGAGCAAATCGGAGCATCATGGACTTCATTTCTACCTTCCACTTTGTTCGTCAGCTACGTAGGGCTTTATTTCAACAAAATCGGACTGCAAAAGAAAAAAATGAAAACTAGAAAACTAACGTCCTATTGCAATAAAGTCAGAACTCAAAATAAAAATAAGGTTTTCATAGCTAACTTAAAAAATCAGGCAGCTTTGTTCTAGTACGGCGAGGATTACAGCAATAAAAAGTTTCAACAAAACTGTACTTTACATTTACAGTAATTCTTCCGCATTATAAGCAATCGGAAGAATTGATTTTCAATCTGTCATGTTGTAAAATACATCTGGTGGTAAATAATTGCTGTTTTCTAGCTACGTTGATTTAAATCACATAAATCTGATTTAAATTTAAAAATAAATTATGATATTTTTTTCCACTGTTTTGGATTATTTCACCAATTGAAAGATAGTAAAACTTGTAGAGCAGAAAAAGGGTGGATTGGGCATTTCAACTCCTTTGTCAGCAGGGGTACATAAAAAAGTGAAAAGGACAGTCTCCTAATGAAAGTGCAGAAGTATGCATCAGGAAGAAATGCTGGACACAAGAGACTATGGCAGTAGCTATTGACACAAGTTTTGTAGCCCTCCGAGCGGGAAGAAGAAATTTCTGACCGTACCCTTAGATACCTGTGGTCTCCAAAAGGAACAGCTGTTCACTATCCTCAAACATAAAGTAATAAAAAACATCAGTACAGGAAATTGGTTGTGAAAGATCCTGATTTTTCTCAGTTCAGAAGGCACACAAACGATTTTTCAGCAGAGGCACACAAATAAACACAAAAAGTAACGGCAGTTGGCTTTACTTCCTTTACACACAAGCAACTTCGGTCTCGCAGCACTGAAAAAAGTTTTACACATATTTATGCAATGGTACATAATCAAACACAAAATCTAGGACTTGTATCACATAAGCAGGACCCTGTTCAGAATGACGCAAACTTCAATTTACAATCGTTGAACAGAATCTTCTGTTCTGGTCTACGTAACAGAGACCGCACAAAACATAAATGAACTTGGCCTTCAAGCTTGGCAAATGCAACACAACATGGGGGCATTCAAATCGGAGCAGAGCCAACTCGCTGCAGCCTTCTTTCATACTTGACTGTCCTTGTCCCGAAATACTTCGTGCATGTGGCCTTAACGAGCCATCTCAATCGCTATGGTTTTTTGCTCTCACATGTCGATACAATCCGAAGGTGTCCCGGTCGTGCCACCGTGACTGCCACCACCTTGACAAGGTAAAGCCACAATGCCGTACGGTACCGTTCCATTTTACCCGTTACGTTTCTAATGACAACTTTATGGATTCATTCCCTGAAAGGTATGTCATGGGTCGTAAAGCACAAAAATATTTTGTATGCAACCCGCGAGGCCTATACAAATACAGGCGTAGCCCTCGACGGATCAAAGTTTGTCCGCTTTCAATTTAAACAAGCATACACATATCCAACCAAAATAAATACTATAAAACTAATCAACCTGGGAGCCTCAACTTGTTTTTTTTTTTTAACTATATTTCATCTGCAGGACAATATCGGCTATACGTTCTTGACAACTACTTGTCGCTTATCTCGCAATTTCAACTGAAAGAAGAAAAAAAAAAAAGAAAGCTCCGATTTACATTTAAACTGGTAATTTTTTATCGACAATTTGCTCCGAGCCGACTACATCACTTTTTCATTCCTTTCGACTACAATCATATGCTCGATTTCTGTCTAGAAACGTGAGCCAAAAAAGTTGACAAAAACTGTGTTCCACAACGACCTTCAACACTGTCACCACCGTGTCTCCACTTCGTTTTTAACATAGAACCTCAACATTTTGTTTCGTCATGTCTACATCTGCATGGTCATCTGCCACAACCACGCTCTTGCTGCGTCGTCCGCTACCGCCTCGTCCGCCTCGGTGGCGCTAACCGCAGTGACATCTGCGACTGTCGCTACGGGCACGCTTCTTGCAGCAGTGGGCCGGACTCGTCTCCAACGTCGGCTACGGCTTCCGCCGTGTCTTCGTCCACCGTACCACTGGCCACAGAGTCGTCTGCAACTTTGTTGCCCTCCAAGGCGCAATCTGGTGCGGCGCTGCCCGCAGCAGAGTCGTCCGCTAGTTCACCGTCATCTTTCGTAATACAACCCGGTGCACTGTCTGCAACCGAGTCGTCCGCCGGTTCGTTTACTTTCCCACATGCACCTGCCACCGCTGCACATCCGACGCCCCCAGTCACAGAGTTGTCCGGAACGCCGTCGTCCTCCATGGCATCGTCCTCTGGCACGGCGCTGTCCGCCAATTCGTCCCTTCCCCCACTTCCACCCGTTGCTGCCGCTTCTTCTTCCGCCTGCTGCATGCGGATCTGGGCCCACCGCTCCGACACCCAGGCCCTCCTCCGAGGCCTCTTCCGCTGGTACTTCTTCTTTTGCCGCTTGATCGTCGCGTAGACCGGAGCGATGTTGGTGAGCTCCTCGGAGCTCAGGAGTGCAGGCCAGAAGAAGTACGACAGGAACCGCGCCTGGAGCGTCTCGAACTGCGAGCGGAACCGGCGCAGGTCGCGGCACTGCAGGCAGCTCTCGTCCCGGACTCCCGGCATCGACGTGCAGCTGTGGCAGCGGATGGCGGCGGCGTCCGGCGCGTCCAGGGCGGATGCCAGTTCGGGGCACGGTGGGGGCATACTGTCGTCTGCCAAAAGGTAGCTGAGGTCGCCGCCCGCAAAGCGGTCCACCAGGCGTGCCAGCGTAGACGCCGTCAGCTGTAGACGGACAAAATATGATTGTACTCCTTGAAGCGATGCTCAAAAGCATTTTCGGAGGCCCTTTGTAACTCTACCGAGCAGTCAAGAAAAAAGAGAACCGCATTTTTATCAAAATAAACTCCGCATCGCCAAACAGCTTGCCGACGCCCAAGTGTAGTAGCTTTAGTAGTTGGGACCAGATGCCAAAGTTCTGCAGCTTGCCGTTATCCAATTAGAAAGTTTTAAGTGAATATTTGAAAGTCGCAAAAAGGAAATTGAGCCAGTTCCTGGTAGAAGAGGCTATTTGTCTCCATATACTCCGGGGGCTTCATTTTGGTGCGAAGAATGAGCTAAATTAGGATGAAAACCGAACATTTGGCAATGCACACCGTAATATCTCGAGTTGTCGCCCACCCCTAAAGGTACCCTGCGGACCTCGCGATCCATGAACGCCCATCTTCCCCAAATGTTGTTATAGTAAATAAAAAAATAAAAAGAACTTTAAAAAAAAAGAAAGAAAATGTTGTTTGCACGTGCATCGTCCCCAATTTCTACGACCCTAAGGTCAGAGGACATTCGTGAGAAAAAGAAACGATGGAGATAACAGAATGAAAAACGGTAATACAGTATAGATTTCTTACAACGTAACCGCTTATAGTGCAGGACCGGGTATAACGCGGCTTTTTTAAACCACCGGTTCGCCTCCCATAGAACTCCATGTAATTACATACCACTTAAAATGCAGGTGCGCGAAAGGAAATACCGGTTATAGTTCGGTTTCTGGAACAGCCTGCCGACCGCGCCGACTGACCGGCGCAGCGAGCACGCTTCCCTGTGCGACACTAGATAACAACGCGAGCCGGCCGCAAGCGGCACTCGCGGGGCAAGGAGGTTACTCGAAGAAGCGGCGAGAAGCGAAGAGAGAGGCTTCAGTTGCCATAGCGACAGAGAGACGCACGCACGTATCGTTTGCGTGTGTGCGTCCCTCCTCTGCGTTGGAAACAACCGCAACGACAAACCAATCGCAGGTCGACGAGAAGTGTTCGCGCGCGTTGCCAGCCGGTTGTGGGCCGGCTGCTTCTATCCGCAAACGTGGCGTCGGCTGTGATCGTCGACGTAGACGGCGTGGTGGAAGCTCATCGTTCCGCGTAAAAGCGCTATCCTTGACTGTGAATTTTCGTTGTGTGTCGCTATGATAACCTAGCACGTATTAGAAGGGAAGATCCACCTACTAGTGTGGCGATGTTGTGGCGGCACTCTCAAGACGGCAGAAACGCCCGTGTCGTCGTGTTTGTTTATTTCGACTATAGTGGTGCTTTCTAAGCATTTGTGTTTTCGAACATCGCCCGGATTTCTTATTTGGAGCATTTCATGCCTGTGCTCAAGTTGAAGGTATTACTGGCACGTACCATATAAAGGATGCGAATTTTCAAGCGTTTTCATCGCCGGAGAAAAGTGATTAGGGTTAGCAATCCTGAACGCTTGCAACGTCCGTCCGCAACCCGCGACGCCGTTAGAAGGCTGCGCCAGGCAAAAGTCACTCATTTTTTTCAAAATGTGTGACACACTTGAGAGAGGAGTGTGCTAGTCTGGTGAAATAAAGACTTTCCTCAAACTAAGCACTATTTTTCATCTAACATAAAATAAATTCTTTTACAAAGGTAAGTTGTCTGATGGCATGTATTTTGGCCTGAAAAACTGATGTTTTGGTTAAAGCGCGGTACCGCTTATAGTGCGGATTTTCGCGACTCCCGCGACATACATTATATGCGGTCTACACTGCAATCCCTGGAGAAGAGAAATACCATATTTGCTCACAGAATGAACGCACCTTTTTTTTCTCGAAAAATCGATGCAAAGATGGGAAGGGCGTTTTATCCTGAAAAATCAACGTAACTTCTTATCTCTTTGTGCACAGCGCGCGACCCCGTAACCAAACTGGACTGTGCAAAAAACAAAAAAAAAAACAAAAAAAAAAGCTCCTCTTTGTCTTTTTTTTCTCTTAATTCCGTGTTTTCTTTTTTTTCCACCTTTTGCAAGCTGTTTTGTTTGCTTAGGCGTTGCTTAGGCGAGGGTTTCTCCGCTTCTCTTTCTTACCTCCTTGCGCGCGGCATGCAACCCCGTAACCAAACTGCGCTGTGCAAAAAAAAAAAAAAAAAAAAAAAAACACCCTTTTTTGTTTTGTTTTTCTCTTAGTTCCGTGGAAAAAAAAAAGCTCCTCTCCATGTTTTTTTTGCTTCCGTTGGATCTTTTTATATTTTTTTAGCGCCTTTTGCAAGGCGTTTTGTTTGCCCATGCATTTGCGACCTCGCTGCACCAGAATAGAAAAGTGCGTTCATTTCGCATGCCTGGTGGGAGGGGGTCAACATTTTGACGTCCGAGTTGGGGGTGCGTTTATTTATTATTTATTTATTTATTGTACCCTCAGGGCCCGAGGGCATTACAGAGGGGAGTGGGTTACAAAGTAAAATCACTAAAAAACAAAATGACAACCTAAGAATAGAAACATGAACATCAGAAATTTTAACTTAGAAAAGTGGTTAAACAACGACATGATGGCATCTGTTACAGACACAACTGACGATGGAAGGTGGTTCCACGTGATTGTTGTTTTGGGGATGAATGAATTATAAAAAGTAGTGGTTTTACAAACAGGTAGACCGATTTTGTGTTGGTGATCGACGCGTGGCGAGACATATGAGGGAGGGGTTAATAATTTTTGATGCAAGGAAGAATTGTGATGATAAATTTTATGAAACAGACAAAGACGGGATAACTCACGACGTGAAGTAAGGTTAGGTAGGTTTAAAAACGTTTTCATGGATGTTACGCTTGCACTAGGGTGATAGTTAGTAAGAATGAAGCGAACAGATCTATTTTGAATAGCTTCGACTGCTGTTGTAAGTAAGTCAGTACCGGGGAATACGCCTCCCCATATAGGGGAGGCGTATTCCAATTTTGAGTGGACAAGGGTTTTGTATAGTAGTAGCTTGAGGGATACAGGGACAGATGGAAAATTACGTTTGAGAAAGCCAAGCATGCGGTTAGCATTGTTAGTTATGTAGCGAATATGAGGCTCCTAAGACAGGTTCGATGAAATATGGATCCCCAAGTACTTATACGATGATACACCTTCCAACACTGTTTAGATAGTAGAAAGTAGAGTGCGAGTTAAGACGAGAAAGAGTCATTACTTTACATTTGTTAGTGTTGAGCTGCATGTTCCATTTGTTACACCAATTAGAAACACAATCAAGGTCAGACTGAAGGATAGCAACATCAGAGGTGTTAGTTACAGTAAAACCTTGTTATAACAAAGTTGAAGGTGCGATCGTAATTATTTCGTTATAACCATTAGTTTGTTATAGCCAATGTCCATTTCTTCCCTATTAGCAAGCAAGGGGAATTATGATTACTTTGTTATATCCATTAGTTTGTTATATCCCATTTTGTTATAACGAGGTTTTACTGTATTTCTCGGTAAAGAACGCAATCATCTGCAAATAAGCTAATAGAGGACGATACGCAGGAAAATAAGTCATAGATAAAAATAAGAAAGAGCAGGGGACCTAACACTGAGCCTTGAGGTACGCCTGATGTCACGGGAGCTGGACTTGAAGAGGTATTATTCACAGACACAAATTGAGATCGGTTATTAAGGAAAGCGCGAATCCATGAAAGTACATCCTGATCAATGTTAAGTTTGCTAAGCTTATGGAGTAGTAGATTATGTGACACCTTATCGAAAGCTTTGGCGAAATCAAGGAAAATACAGTCCACCTGGGAACCATGATCAAGAATAAGGTGAAGGTCATGAGTGAAGGTGAGTAGCTGAGTTTCACACGAAAATGATTTACGGAAGCCATGTTGTGCAGGAGTAAAGAATGAATTGGATTCTAGGTGTTGAACGAGATGAGAAAAAATAATATGCTCAAGAATTTTACACGGAATGCTTGTTATGGAAATGGGACGGTAATTGAGAGGAGAATGATGATCACCGGTTTTATGCACGGGCACCACTTTACCCACCTTCCAATCGTCAGGTAAACAGCCTAGAGTAAGTGATTGCTCAAATAATTTAGACAGTATTATAGAAGAATACTCTTTTGTTCTTAGCAAAAATTTAGAATTAATTCCGTCAACTCCCGCGGAGCAGGATATTTTTAGCTGTTCAATTATCTTTATAATTCCACTTGTTTGAATTAAGATGGGATACATGGGCAGAAAAGCGCGTTGTTGAAGTTGAGGTAAAGTTGAAGAAATACAGTTTGAAAATGATTCAACAAAAGTAGAATTGAAAACATTTGCACAGTCATCGGTGGAAACAGGTTTACCTGATAAAGTAAACAGAGACAGTGTGGTGTTTTTATTGCCGTTAATCGCCTTCCAAAACTGTTTGACGTTGTTGGTTAGTAGTGATGGCAGGGTGATAGACAAATAAACTGACTTTGCATCCGCGATTGCACTTTTATAAGCATTGGCAGCCTCATGATACTCGAGCCATTTAACCTCCGAATTTGTTAACTTTGCTGCACGAAATTTGCGCTTCTTTTTATTGGAAAGTCTTTTTAGAGTGTTATTGAACCAAGGGGAATTCGAAACAATTGGGATGTTACGTAGCGGTATATGTTTATTGGTTAGGAGCTAAACCTGCGTCTTAAACAATGTCCAATTTAATTCTAAAGAACGGTCAGAAAAGTGGTCTAAGTAATCGTTAAGAAAAAGACCAAGGGCACCGTTAATAGAGTCATAGTCACCTCTACTATAGTCTCGTATTTTTTTAAGAGTTCGCTGTGCTGTTTTGGCTGGCACATCAAGTGAAAAATGTAGTAGCGAATGGTCGCTGAGAGCCGGCATGAAAGTAACAGAAGAAATAAGTTCAGGTGAAGTTGACAAAATGAGATCTAGTTGACAAAATGAGATCTAATACGCGAGTGAAAATAAAAGTCGAAATTTTGAGAGCCGACTTGGGGGGTGCGTTCATTACGCGAGTCCGTTCATTGCGCGAGTAAATACGG